ACCATAAGGATGTTCACGGCACATGGTCATTATCCTTGCATACTTTCACATTGTTTGGGGTATTTTTTACAAAATAATTAGGAATATTTTTAAAATTTAGAGAAGCGAGCGAAAAAAATGACAGTTAAAAATAAACATGTCCACTTGCAGCCAAAGCATACTTCGATTCTAAGTTTGAATATCTATGTACTTTCAAATATATCCAGCTTTCCATGCTCGGTAATGGCGGCCTGTTTATATGAATAAATGTATCCTTCACTGTGCTTTTTGACACTATCTGGATGTTCGAATGTTGACCCCTCCCTTTCCCTCTCCCAGGAACAGAAGAAAATGGAACAACATACGCCCTCCAGTTAGTGTCAAAAAGCACAGTGAAGGATACATTTATTCATATAAACAGGCCGCCATTACCGAGCATGGAAAGCTGGATAGGCTACGTTCCATTTGGTAAATTTTCACTTAAATTTGACATTTCGGAAATAAATTATTATGTTCGAAAATCCCTCTGTTGCTGATGGTCCGATTTTCATGAAGGCGTTTGTTAAAATTGATTCCTGGTCTGTCAGTAATACGTTCATTAGAAATTGTTCCATCTGCAAAAGTGAAAGTTTACCAAATGGAACACAGCCTTAATAAAAAAAATCTGTTGTTTTTAACCACCGTTTAAGCATATAATATATAAAGCAAGGTCATTTCTAAAACATATTCACCTTTGCACTCCGGGAGAATCAATCTACAGATGGAATTGTATTTTTTTTTATCTTAATGGATACCTAAGACATGAATTCAAATGGATTAATATGGGTTTCAATATTCCATAAACGTCCCAACTAATTCCATATTACTTGAAACTGGAACTTAATTGACAAATTATGAAAAAATTGAAAAATTGACGATTTGAGCATTGAAAATGTCTCTTCCTTTCATGCCTACAGCTTCAATGGACAGTTCTCTTTAAATATCATCACGTGCCGTTCGAACTTTAGGAAAATTATGAAAGCTCACTTTTTGCTGGCCATATTTTGGGTCACTCAACACTTTACAGGTATTTTTCGCTATCTGAGAAATTAGGACACTTCTTAATAATGATCGAAATGAAATTATGTATGAAATCTACTCAACCAAAATGGAATTCAAATTTGGTTTGCTTGCGCTGTTAAAATGCATAAATTTTCCTCAATCATGGCCATCTTGGTCTTTGCCATAATGGTAATGGTCATATGTCAGAACGGAGTGATTGAAATTTAAAAATGATTCTATGGCCCTCGAGCGTAAAAAGCTGGATATGGCTTATATAAAGTTCGGAAGCCCTATATTACCCGTATATCAGCCTAATATTGCAAAAAAGGTGAATTAGCAGGCTGGTTTGCTTGGGTATGCTCGTAGAGGACCACCCCACTCCATTTGTGTGTCGATAATTATCCGATGGAACAAGACTAAACGGCGCGCATCGGGCAATGTGGATCGACTGTAAGGCGCCCTTCGGAACATTACCAGACAGCATTCACATTTTACCAAGGAAAACAATTTTAAGCATGTGAATATATTCATCCATGATATATTATGACTGTCATGGAAATTATTGATTGAAATTGATATCTCATTTTATTAAAATAAAATAAAAAATAGACCAATGAAAAACCTTATGGGGGTGACATAGGCCCAAAACATAAATTTCTATAAAATATCTTATCACTTTAAACACGATGTCTCCGGTAAAACAATTTCATTTTTTTCTTTGATTTGTTTCCGTCGATCTTGTTTTCCGTACTGAGTACCAATGCTACCGACGCCAGGGAGGCAGCTCCTACACCTGGACGTTACCTATCAACCCATCAACTCATAGACCGGGGACCAACGGCTTTACTTCCCTTCTGAAGGAAGACGTGATCAGAGATTTTGCCTCTGAAAATCCCGGCGGCGCCGACTGAGATTGAACCCAGGCCTGCTGGGGTGAGAGGTAATCACGCTTACCACTACACCGAAAACCATTGCATAATAAAGCTTTTTTTTTAAATTCGAAATGATGCGTCGAAAAAAACTTTGTTTGAATTTTTGGACGTCGCTCCAAAGTAAATTGCACCTTAATGTATATCAGATGAGCAGTCCCATCGAAAAAAAAACTCTACCTTCTCAGATTAGCATAATTATGTGTTATGGGAAATCATTCACATTTTTGCAAAAAATCGCCCATTTTGGATCTTGTTTTTTTTTCAAAAAACGTCCATGTCATTTTTCAATAAATTGTAGAACGAAAATGTCACTCCTGATCAGCGAATCCAAACATATAAAGCAACCAACGATACAGACAAAACGGTTGCTACGACTACCATGACAAACTCGCTCCATAACATAGCTCGATCCGAGTGGTAAAAGGATAATGATATATTGCTTGCCTGCTTTGTTGCAATATACACGGATGAGGACATAGCTTGATATGAATCGAGAAAAGACATAACAAAACAATTCCTATTAACACACGTGTATCATCTTCGGCTCTACTTCGTGAAGCAGTTTGCCAACAACTTGCTCGTTTCCTTCTACCGCCCCGAGTGAGTTGTGTCGCACGGACTGCTTGTCATGAAAAAGAACGAATAAGATTATATCATTATTGCTTTAAACTTCTGACATAGCGTTATTATTCGGTTCGTTGATCGCTTGTCATTTGGAGATATTTTTGATTCCTTGCTCCTGATCGAAATGACGACTAAGACAAAATTGTAGAAAAATAATAATAAAGTCTTCCTGCGAAAATTATGCACGGTATTTGTTTTTAGTAATTTGGAGTAAAAAAATGAAAAATGTTTCAAAAATTCAAATATTTCGAAAGCAGGGGAAATTGATGTAATGTCGGCTTAAATGCCTCTAATTTGGGCTCATACATAAATTCAGCAAACGACTAAATTTTCAACGATCAAAATATCCATTAATACCGTCCCAATACCATGTTTATCTTGATAAAATTGATAAACGGCAGATTTTTAAGCGATGGGCCCAATTTTAGATCCATAGGCCAACATTAGAGCCATTTCCCCTATATCTTCAATTTTTATAATTAAAAAAAATGCTCATAAAAATGCAAACTTTTTGAATATATTTAAAACCATGCATTGAAAAAAAATGGGGGCGACCCCGGCGTAGTGGTTAGCATCCATACCTCTCACGCCAAAGTCACGAGTTCAAATCTCACCCCCGGACATGTCACAAATGACCCAAGAGCGTTAAAGTGACTATAAAAAAAAATGAATTGAAAAAAAAATTGTAGAACAAGAACTTTAGGTAAAATTTTAAATTATTAAAATTGAAGATATACTTTTTGAGATATGTGAGTTTTTAAAACATTCAAGGTTTTATCAAAAAAAAAGATGCAAAAATGTCAATGATTTTGATAACACGAGGAGATCGAAGTAGGTCGCGCTGCGAAAATGACGTGTTTTTATTTTGCTGCGTCGTTTTCGTTCTAGTGAAAATGTTATAAATTTACAATTTCATTTTTAAAAAGTGTTAATTTGAAAGTACAGAAGTGATGTTGAAAAGTGCATAAAGTGATTTTTTTTAAATTCTTATCCGTTGCATGTGGTGCCGACAGTTCTAGACTACGCCAATCAAATATTGCACTGCTGCTTGATTGAAAGTTTCAGTACATTATCAATGGTGTATATTTGCATCGATGATGTATTTGAGCGGAGCTTATGCGTAAAAATAGCTTCGGAATTCTTGCGTTCTTGAAATGGGCTATTGTAGGTGCGGTCCCAAGTGGAAAACTTCCATCGAAATAAGTTGCAGCAACTTGATTGTGTCTGGAATAAGTTTCACACAAGTAACCACAATTGTTCAGTAACAAGTGTGCTGCTAAGGGTAGAGCTGTCACCTTCTAACTCACGGGTTCAAGCTTCATAAGAAATGATTGCAGGCAGATTTTATCCATAATGCAACTGCCAGACAGTGGGAGTTAGGCCAAGGGCGAATCTTCATTCTAATCTACGATTCCACATACTATTAATAACCTCTTACACATGAGAACCTCCTATCGATAAGAATGAATTGTGCATATGTTTAGGATCAACAAACATTTTCAGGCGCAAAGGAGCAACAGGATCGAGCTGATAACGTTTCTTAATTCCAAAATCTGAAGACGGTTTTGAATAATATGGTTAGGTAATGGGCAGCAACAACGGACAGATAAACTACTTACAGCTTCTTTTTATTAAATGCTTGATATGACGATTGCTAGCAACACCGGCTGGGCGTATCCTATGGCTTACCCTCCTTACTAACAAAAATCCACCCTTCCCGTGACACTTATGAGGGGTCGTAGAGTTCTCTGCATCTCTCTTAAGTAAGTGTCGGACTAAAATTCCTCCCCTTTTCCCCACCAGATGCAAGAACGTGGCCAGGAAAGCTCTGGTCTGTTGGAGGAAGACACATCCTTTATCTAAGAAGTAGTAATTAATCACAAATTACTATCTAACAGCAACGGATGAAGGTGGGTCTTCTTCTTAACAAAATTTTGGAGCTCGTATCTCCTACGACATTGTGCAACCTTGTTTATGCTGTGCTAAATGTCAATGATTATGATAACACTCAATTACACTAAGTGTTATGCAAATCGGAGAAGGTCGCGCCATTTATTTTTATTTTTTTTGTTTGGCGTGGAACTGGTTAGATTCATGATAGAACAAATAAAATATATAAGACTCATTACACATTTAACATTTAACATCGCCTACTGCCTTGCATATTGCAACAAAACGAAAAAGTGCAACTTCAACTCCTGTTATTTCCAACAAATAAATTCCGCGGAATTTATGAAATTAGTCATACTAAGCAAAGGATAAACGTGCACGCATCAATGAATAAAAGATTATGAATTTAGCGCCAATGGCTAAAATAGCTTTATGGTCCATAATTGGCTAATTGACACTATGTTGTCAAATTGCAAATAGGTTCTTTTTTACATATGTATTAAGAGTATACCCTTCTGCTGGAAGTCTACTCACCGGAATGCCTTAAGCCATAGCTATCACAGCTCTCGTCCAGAATGCCATCATGAGTGGCAACGGCCGCAGCCGCCGTCCAGAGATCCCGCGGGTGCGGATGATGATGGTGCGAGTTTAATCGATATTCGGTCCCCAGACGGTACTCGGAATAGTAATCTGTGAGGAGAGAAGCCAATTTGATTAGTGTTAATGAGTGAAAGGATTCCAATCTTTACTGACCATTGTGCAGCGCTGACGATGCGCTGTGGTGAAAAGGGTTCACATGGGACAGCGTGGTGACCGACGCCGATGCCGTAGAGGACGAGGATGACGTGGTGGCGCTGGTTCCGGACGCCGATGGAGGCGGAGAAGCTATGCTTCGTTTACTACTGCTGCTGGTAGTACTGGTGCCGGTGGCAGTGCTGCCGTTGGTATTTCCGTTCCCATGGTGATGATGGTGATGGCCCTTGATAGTGAGATGACTGTGGACATGGTCCTGCTGTTGCAGTTGCTGCTGCTGCTGCTGCTGCTGCTGCTGATGTTGTTGTATTAGCTGTTGCTGATGTTGACCGTGATGATGATGATGAAGGTGGTGATGGTGATGCTGCAGGAGATAGGCCGCCGATGCCGGTGAGGACAGTGAGGTGGATAGAAAGTCATTTGCCTGGGCCTCGTCGGCACTGTTGTTACCGACTACCAGCGTGCTGCCGTTTGTTCGATTGTCACCCCCGCTGGCTGCTAGTACAACTGTCGTGGGGGACGATTTCGACGAAGTCGGTGAGTCTAGGACTAAGGACGATGCGGTTGTGCTTTCCTGCTGTGCGACAGTTTTTTTTTACCGGGAACGAAGAAGAAAGGAATTGCCTGTGAGTTCAATCAAGTTCATCATTTATCAAAATCTGATTTCTTTTCTTCGGCGCAACACGCCTTTCAAAGAGGGAAAATCGACTGCACGCGTGTCTTCGGGTTAGTTGTCAGTGAGGGTTTTATGATGTCTTGGGATTGGTTTTTAATGTTCAGGTAATAGCGACAAGTCTATTAATCATGGTTGGTTGTTTCCAAACGATGAATTTGTTTTGCAATTGATCTGGAAAAGCGAGGTTATGTTACACTCTAATTTACGCCACAGGGTTCCAAGCAACCGTTTAGGTTTGATGGTGGACTCAGTTTAGGTATGTATTAAATATATATTTTCTGCTGTAATCAAAAATTAAGTAAATCAAAATATGATTTCTTTGAAAGTTATGAATTGGGATGTTAATGGAATAATCACAAAAGCAAAAAAAAAAAAAAAAATTATTAATGTATAATAATCAGCTTTTTTATGATTTCGTTGATCATTTACTCCAAGCAAATAGATTTTCAACTCGAACATCAATGGGAAGAACTTTTTTACTTTTGTAGTACTTGATTTAAAATGCTTAGTTAAAAACGACTGTGGACTCGTTTATTCTTCTTCTTATTTAGCTACTATATTCCAACTGGAACTCTTTGAGCGTATCCTCAGTTATTATAATTTAGAGCTTACAAGTACCTGTACATTATGTGGCAAGCACAATAAAGGTCGAAAAATTTTCCAACATGGAAATACATTAATCAAGAAAAACTAGCTTGTACGCTGCAGTCCAATTACCATTACATTTGTTGTAGCAAAAAAATGCAGAGGATATAAGAAATCCACTCCTACATTTGATTTGCGTGTTAAAATTCAAATAATTGGCCTTCTGAACTACACAGTTATCAAAAGTTACGAATTTTCGAAAAATTTCAGTTATTACATAACAGTGCCGTCAAATCTTTACTTTACTGTCTTCAATGTCCGTGGTCTTCAGATTGATGAAAACTTGATTACCTAATGGGATTTATAATTGAACAAAAGCTTAAATCTCTTTGGTCAACCCCCCAAAGGGGGTTACACACTTTCTATTGAGCCGATAAGATGACAGTATCCTCAACGAATCACAGAAACAGCAGGCAAGCAGTGAAAGAAACACTGCCTCAAGTGTGAACTCAAGAAAGGACAAAGGAAGCTATGTTAACACCTACGCACATTTCCTCAAGCCTACTACGTTCCCGCCCACTGCGGTACCGTTTATTGTTCCGATAAACAAAATTGGCCACGCTTTGGTTGATGAGCGCTCGTTGTCCTTGTGTGTTTTGTCCTGATGGTGGAGGAATGACAAACATGACGATGTGTAAAACAATATGTGAGGTGTCCTTTTTTCCTACCTTTCCTATCGTTGTTGTTGACACAAATTCATTAGATAATTGACCTGCTCCTGATGCATACAGTGTGAGTTCACCCAACCCCCATCGAGCATTAGTGTCAAAGCCATTGGGAAATGATGTCTTCATGCCATCACCTTTAATGTTTAGTTGTGGGGAAAGTTTGAGGCAGAAAAATCTAGCAGTGATAGGCGACAATCGGCAGTTATCGATCACACTTTACCTCACGGAAGAACTGTAGTCAATATCGGGGAAGAAGTGTAACGAAACTTAAATACAATTTCCGCCGGTGGTAGAGGCACGATTTCCGTCGTGGGATTGAATTCGTCTTTCCTATAGTGAGCAGTTTTCCGTGCTAAATTTATGTTGCTCGTGTTTTTTGTAACTTCACTACTACTTTGGTTGGAAATGCTATCTAATATCAACATGTAGCTTTAGTGTGATCATTTATTAGCTAGAGAAAGTTCTGAAGAGGGTAGGTTGATAGGTCCGCAAGAGTACGGTAGTGTGAAAACTTAATAGAAGTTGAAAATGAGTAAGTTGAATGGTAGTGATGAAACGTCGCTAGAATTATTCCACAGATTAGAGCTCTTGCTGCTTATTATTTTTACAAAATGTTTTACATATACCGTTGATAAATAGTATATATTCATCGAATTCTACGTTTAAATAGTTTAAGATAACTCATGGGATTTAATGAAAAAATTTAGTAGATTGTAATAAACTTGATTTATCTAATATTTCTAGTGTTCAGAATCATAAGGTCCCACAGTTAAGTGAACAAATTTTACGAAATTAACACAATACGATGTAGTGAAAGGTTGTATTAGTTAGCAAAAGCAACATCAAATGCACCGGGAAATATTAATCCAGGTGAGTTAATAACAAAAGAGAAAATCGGTGAAGAGAATCGATCATCGCAGTTAGGCCCTTATGATTCTGAACGCTAGATTTGTATTGTTGCATTAAGGATGCGACGTAAAAACTAGTACCTTAATCCGGGGGCAAATTGATCCTCGGGGTGAAATTGGTTAAAATGCCCTGCATTTTCAGCTATCCTGCAGAAAATTTTCATCGATGGACTCGAATGATTGGTTTGATGAGTTTTTCACACCAAAAATGTATAATTTACTGCAAAAATTTCAATTTCATTTTACTGGAGTTCAATAGCTCACAACATAATCATCTAAACAAAAGATTATAGCGGTGCAACGTAGTGACACCAGTGCGCAAAACAGTCAGGTTCATCGAGTCATTTTCATATGAATATGAACTGCCATCTGCCTCATCATTCACTGCCTCGTGAGGCTCTGAATGATTGAGAGGTAAACGAGTCACTGACAGCCGAGCACTCAGTCAGTAGCTCAGTCAGAACGTTTATTCTTCCGGGATGGTACCCAAACCTTGTTTTGAATGACTGAGCGTACATTTTCTATGGAAAAATGTCTCAATTACATGCTGTGTGAGCGAAGGCAAGCGGTGTGAGTCACTTGTTCGTGAGTGACTGAATGTTTTTGTTGGCTCTTTCATTGCCTCTTCCTTTACCGTTTGGTACAAACGGTCTGCACAGAGCAATGGATTGAATAGTGCAGAGCCTTCACACTCAGCCTAGACAGTCAATAATTTTACGCTCTGAGTGACACTGAAGTCGAAGTACTTAAAATATTATGAAAAAAAAAGTTTCCATTGATAAGAAACGTGAGGATTTTCACCAATTTTTAAAAAATGATGCCTGTTTGCCCACACGACTAATACCGTATGCGTGATAATGTTTGCACCATTGTTCTAATAAGGTTCCTGTTTCACCTGTGCATACAATGCCTTGGTTTTCTTTGCATGCACGTAACCTATAGCTCATACCGTAGTAGGCTGTGTATAAAAGAAAATGATTTACTTAGTTTGACAGTTTGACCATGACGAAGTGGCAGCGTATTCGTGATTTGTCCCACACGCAAATGTCGCAAAAAGAGATTTCAATCGCCGTGGGAGTGTCCCGGTGGACAAAAGGGTTTTAGACCGAGAAAAGAAAGGACAACTATCCGCGAAGGTGGCCACAGGTCGTCCGAGGGTTATCGTTGCTATCAAAAGGAAGATTCGGGTGAATCCAGTGCGTTCAATAAGGAAAATGGCCAAGGAACACGGGATCAGTGACTTTACGGCACGGAAGATTGCGGGGCGAAGTCGAGGGCACGAAAAAAACTCACATAATTACCAACCGCATCCGGGAGCTACAAGTCGAACGATGCAAGAAAATATTGAACTTCCTTAAGCGAAAAAATCCGGTAATCCTGTTCACCGACGAGAGCATCTTTACCGTCGATCCCGTATCAAATTCCAGAACCGACCGGTATATTAGTTCTCTTCCGGTAAAAGACGTGTCCGACAAGCACAAGAACGTGTATCTGACCAAGCATCCTGCTAGCGTTATGGTGTTTGGATTGGTGGCTTCCGATGGCAAAAAAATTGACCCGGTGTTCATTCCAGAAAGCGACAAGGTCAACACGGAGGTCTACATCGGGATTTTAAGTAAGTATGTTCTTCCGTGGATCAAAGAACAGTACGGTCCGAAGTCAAATGTTGTATTTCAACAAGATGGGGTTCCGTGCCACACCTCGAACCGCACTCAGAAGTGGTTGCAGGAACATCTTCCGTTCTGGGCGAAGAATATGTGGCCGCCATCCAGTCCCGATCTTAATCCGCTGGATTACTCAATATGGCGCGTCATGAAGGCCAAGGCCTATTCTAAACGCCACCCGAGTATAGCAAGCCTCAGACAAACATTGACCCGTACCTGGAGAGAAATGGATCCAGACTACATTATTAGAACCGGCCGTGCATTCTGGAAGCGTGTGGAGGCCGTAATTGCAGCAAGTGGAAACTCGATCGATGATTAACATGGTTTAAGACTATGAGAAACATCCCCCCTTTGAATAAATTAAACTCATACCGTACGATACTGGTTAAGTTTTACTGGTTAACGATACGGTATTGGTTAAGTTTTGCCAAATAATGTTATTCATCATATTTGTTTTCCTGAGCCATTATACTTATCTTATATTTGGCAAATATTTGACCAACAATTTATTGACCAAATACTACAAAACGGTTATTTGACCACCTGTTTATCAAGATATTTGTTGACATATTACATTATTTGCAGTTGACCGATTTTATTTAATTGGCCATTGATTTGATATTTAATTGCTGATGGTATTTGGTTCAATTTATTTTGCGTCAAGAAAGTGAATTTTGATAATCTCAGGCTAATACACAGTTTGGAGATCATATGATCCATATTAGGTTTGGAGATCATATAACGATCATTAGTTCATTCCGAGTCCACTGGAATCGGTTCTAGAACAAATTTTCTGGAGAAAAACTTTCATGTGACAAGCAAATAATGCTCATTTCAGGTTTCTTCGTTTGTTGATCTCGCAATAGCTCCTTCAGAATCAGTTCTGAACCATATTTACAGAAGTAATGAATTTATATGATGTAACGCAGCAAACACATCATTTTCGACAGGAATTCGTTCACGACTCGGAAAAGGCCATACGTTTAAGGTTAAATTAGAACTGTGAATAGCGAATG